CAGTAATGGTCTTTGTTTTCAGTTGTTTATTTAACACAAGTCTAACTGTATTATTCTAAAATGGCCTGTGGAATTCTGTGCTGATATTCAGTCTGTCTGGTTATTAAGCTCAATTATTAGGTAGAGCCTTTGACTATGAATCGGAGGACCCGGGTTCAATTCCCTGACGGTGCAGGTCAATTTCCTTGTGATTGATCATGAAATCTTTTCTAGGGTCATTCGCACTGGACCTCTTCTCTGGTATGTAGAGAAGTAAAAAATTCTTTGAGAAAGTGAAGTAAACAGTTTGACAACATGTCCAGGATCGATGCTGTGGCTAAACTGTGCTCTGTGGCTCACTGCCTTGATCTGTAGTGAAAATTACCAACACCACCACCACTGTGCTGATATTCATGAATGCTTTCCCTGCTGACTTTGTTAAATCAGCATCATTAGTCTGTCTTGCTTTGAATTAGAAATTTTAGCATTGCTAAGATAAAATCACTGTTTTTACCTCAATTAATGGTGGTGATGGGGCAGATGGTGAAAAAAACCAAACAGGAAAAAAATCTTTCCCAACAACAACATCATTCTGAAATATCACCATGAATAATTATTCTAATAATCTAAATAAATAATATTGGTTATTGTAAATTGACCAGCCACCATGAAGATTATTATCAAAAGTTTAAAGGCTATACAAGGTTACCCATCATATGTTGTGTCGGTATCTGATGAATATATAACTGTATATAAATAAAGAAGCAGATATAATAGTTTCATGCTGTGTTGACATTTTGGCTGGATTATTTTCTGCCTATTTGGACATACCAACAATATTGTTAATGCTGTTTTGCCAGTTGTTGTTATAACATCATAGATCTGCCACTCATGCATGCTACCAATCACAATTACTTTTAAATACCCCCTAAAGGTCTTGAAATTAACATACCGTATACCTATTAAATGAAAATGAATTGCAACTGTAAGAAATCAATAGAATTTTGAATATTATACAAGCAAGGAACTCATTATAGACCATAATTTCAATGATATTAGTTTGATAAACAAAGATAGGCCGTTAATCTTATAGTTATGTATTTCTTAATTGAATATTAATTAGCATCAAGATAGTTAAGTTAACGTCAGTTGTCTACACTAGTCAAAACTGTATATACAAAAGTCAAATTGCACTATTCAAAGTTAAAAAGTAATTGGCATAAACATGCACTCTGTTCACTGCCACTAGTAAAAGTATTGGCAGTTTTAATTATATAACATAAATAGAAAAATATAGAACATGCTCCAGGAATGTATGATATGGTAATTATGGCATGGTTACAAATTGACATTCCATATTGTTAGACCATAAAAAAGTAATACCCAATTAAAAATAACTTTTACAAATATCAACTTTTAATTAAAGAAAGAATTTTTTGATAGTTAAATAAAAAGCTGCTTAAGATAACATTTAATTGTCATAATAAAATCAGTTACTAAAGTTAGATCATGGTGAATGATGTTATATGGTGGAACCTTTCTTCACTGTAAAGATCATTTATTGATGTAATTATTATTAATATATTTTATGACAAATCTGGCTAAATAATTAAACTCATTGAACAATTTGACTTGACCAACTGTTAACAAGGAACTTAAATCTAAGGGATCCTATAAAATTTCTGCTTCCCAATTTAAATAGAAGAATATCCACTTTGTGTAAGATTTCTTTTTATTACATGCCATACCGGTAATTATATATATAAGGCCGTGTCTACACCTATTCAAGTTTCTTACATGTCACATTTAGATAAGCTAAATAAATGGCCCTTTCAACATTTTTTCAGGCACAATTTTTACTGAAATGTCTCATTAAGATAGCCCAGGATTTATACCTTTGTCTTTGTAATACTATCATGTTTCTGTAAAATATGTGAAAAAAAGCGGGAAAATGATGCAATTAGCTAAAACAGAATGGAGTAAATGAAATGCGTTCATTCTTTTTTAAAATTGAAAAAATGTGACAAAAATTTATTTTGATGCAAATTCTTTATTTGATGAAAGTTATTCACTAAATGAACAGATCATTTTAAATCCATTTTGACTCTACTTGAAAAAGAGCTCTTTTTTATTTTTTTACAATTTATTTATTTTTATTTTTTTTTTTTTTTTTTTTTTTGCTCTTCTGTGTATCAGCGTATTGATTTGTTATTGTAATCATTTACTGAAATTCAAAGGGCATGTACACAGAATCAACAACAAAAAGTCAGAAATAATAAAAATAACAGCACTATCAAACCTTCGGGCACATGTTTTGTGTCAAACCGGTGTTATCAGTGTCTTGACAGCCAAAAACTTGTAGAAAAATAGAACGTGTTCTAACTTTCTTGCAAGGAATTATCTTCTTGGATGTCACATAATTTCTCTTTAAAACTCATTCAAGTAGGGTGTCTACACTATCCAATACAAGAGAATATGATACTTGCATTCAAGACTTGGATAGGTGTAGACGGGCCCTAACAGGAACTTTATTAATTAATGCCTCTCACTTTCTTAAGTACATGACTTATGTATATCATATAATATGTTCTAATTTATATTTTATTATTTTTTCAAATTTAAGTTAACAATAAAACAGAAAGTAGGAAATAAAATGATATTAGATCAAACAATGTTTTCAAGAGCTTAGTTGTTAAACATTATTGTTGTTGGCACTGTACCATTTGTGAGAGTCACTTAAAATTAATGACTTGAACACAATATATCATAATAATGATATTTTCCGCATCATTTTAAGTGCAATCTTTATTATAAAAGAGCAGACAATAATGGCCTTTGCAATCATATTGACATTTTGAATTGCTTGAAATATACCTGCAAAGTTTATTCTTATCACAAGCCTGAATGATGATGTCAACCTACACACTTCCATATTCTGATCAATAGGTAAAGCTTCCATAATTGAAGATTTTCAAAATAAATGAACATTGTTCCTTTTTTTTAAAAAATGTTGCAAGTTCTTAGGGAGATGGTTTATTAAATTATTTCTAATGCAGTTAACATAGGCTCTTCGACTGTTTTGTATCACATAACCAGGAAATTTATCAATAGTAATTTAGTAATTTTGTCTTATATATTGACATACACAGAGTAGCACCGTGGCACACAAAAAAGATCTATACAGTTTTGTAAAGCTAGCTGGAATATAATTTTATCAGAGCTTACAAAACATCAAAAATATACATAACTGTAATAAGTGTTTATTTATTGAGTGTAGGATAATCCCCCCCCCCCCCATCTCCAACCCCTCCCCCACTGTCTCATTGTCTGCTCTGTCAAATTTAATGGGAGAGCTTTTGTTCACTATACCATATTTGGATAGGACGGCTTTTGTCCAGGAGGGCTTTAGTCCAGAGGGGCTTTTGTCTGTATCCCTATTTATTCAACAGTCACTTTTAAAGTAACTGATGCATGCAACTTAAATAGTTAATGGATAAATCTTATTCTCACCTTAATGCACAATCAGAAAAAATGTTATTGTGGGAAAATATGTGCAATCTTATTAAAGTTATGTTATCAGATATATTTATATTCTGCAAAAATTACATAATAATGTAAATCACATATGTAACAACTGTTGAGCCATAGATTTCTATCAACTCTTTTTAATTTGTCTATCTTTAGTAAGCAACCAAGAAATAAATGCTGCTGCAACACGCCGTTTTTGGCCAGCTTGTCTGTGCGGAAGAAAACATCAACAACTGCTTACTATCCATGTGGTCAGACCAACCGACTCATCCATGCTGCCTGCATGATCATGGTCTGCAATGTTCGCTATTCAGTTCCCTTTTCAGTTTGCTATCCAGTCAATATATATATTTTAGTGGCAGCATGACCGAGGGATTAACGCGTCAAGCTAGTAATCTAAGGATTGCTGACCGCATGGGTTCAAACCCTGCCAGGAGCAAGCCATTGTTTCCTTGAGCAAGAAACTTTATATACATTCATTCAGATTCGAGAGTGTTTCAATAAGCTTATAGCTTCCAACACAATTGAACTACAATGAATTTGTATAAACTACTATATATATTTTAATGTTTCGCTGAAAATGATCAATGGTTTTGTCCATCTTTCAATCTGGACAAAACCATTCATTATTTGAGATAGATAAAATAATTGTTGACACATGAAAATTGACATCAGATAATGATAGAGACTGACCTCATTTAAAGCCAAACCATGAATTTGTTATTTCATAACTTGTATCATTGTTTGAATACTTGAATACTATAGACATACAGTAGATCAATCCGGATATTGTTCACACCTATCTCTATTGTTTGACTGGTCTGGCTATTTTGTATAGACAGTCCAAAGGAAATCATTATAAACAGGTAGCTGAAGGTGCGGGGAGATGTCCACTATTATACAATGTATATCAAGACTTACCCAGAGTGTTGACATTACTAAGGTTAGGGTTATAATCTTGTGTTATAAATCATCTAGTCCTGTAGCGGGCAGTCAAGTTTTATCCTTGACCAGGACAAATAGTGCTTTAAATTGATTGTGAAGGTATTATTTGTTTGAGTTATTTATTTTTATACCAATGAAGTTTAGTTTTTCATTGGTACCAGTTAACTCTGGTCTGCTTAAAGCTCAGCGATAAACCAGTATTGGGATATTTTCTTCTCCTTCTCAGTCAAGGAACACAGTACAATAAGCTCATGATGTATATAGGTTTTCAGTATCAAAATACTAACAGCACAGACCTTGGCTTGTCCTGGCACTTCCATTCACAGAATTGTGTCCTCATTCCTTTATCTAGTTTATTGACCAAGTGGTCAGTGTTTAAAGTTGGTCACTGTCCATTCTTTTACAGTATATTGACCATGTTTTTCCATGTTACAGGTTGTTAACTGACCGTCTATAGTTTAATTATCACTCCTGGCTATCTTCCATTGTGAGTTCATCATTAAGCCATTACCTAAGGGATTGAGCTATCACATACCACAAACAAGTACTTGGTTTAAATTTATATTTTTTTTAAAGATTTTTATATATATATATTAATATACATCTATTATCATACATATAGAGACAAAGTATGAAATAGCATGTAAAATGCAATGTTATCTATCGATAAAGACAAATCTACCAAAAATGCCCTGAATTGTGAAGGAAAGTTGAAATATATACACAAAACTTGGAACAACATTTAACAATATATCTAGCACATTGATCTCAATATACGAAGCAAAGGTATCATATTTCATTAGCAACTCTTATCACCTTTTGTTCTTTACAGACCTGAAAGTTTTACTTACATATTTCAAAACTATATACAATATTTTTCTATCAAAGGCAGGTTCTGTTATATATATATCTGAGGCAATAAAAATAAACTGCTGTAGCAGATAAAAAGATAGATTTGGAGCAAATACATTTAAGCAAAAGCTCTGACCTGGAATCACTTTTTTCTCTCATTAAAAAAAATGTTTGTAACTCAGCTTCTCATCTCAATATCATGTCATACATGAAGCTTAAACCTCCCCTGATACTTTAAAAAATTGTTATTTTGAAAAGATAAAACTTGTGCGGAATATTATAGGAAGCCCAGAGACAGAAAGCATTAGCTAGGCCTTAAACAGCACCCAAACCTATTTCTTCAGATTACCCCAGCCATTTATTCAGGTTAGCTTATACCGAGTCCAGAGGCTTATACCCCTATCCACAATACCCCACCCATTTACTCAGGCTTATTCCCCATTATCTATACCCTATCCATTTACTCAGGCTTATCCCCCATCTTTATATCCCAATATACAATACTCCCCCCCACCCATTTATCCAAGCTTATACCCCACAAACAAACTTTATTAATACATTATGCCCCACATACTTTTATGTTTTAGATTGATAGCATACATTAGATTGCTTATATTTCTAAAAAAAAAAGATAAAAATTTTACATTGAATTTTTTTACAACAACACTTAGATAAAAGTTACAAGAAAATTCAAATTTATGTCATACTACAGTTTCCACCTTCATAATGCCTGCCAATTGAATTCAAAATACATGGTACAGTATCTATATCTTTTAACAACATTCAAAAGTCAAACTAAAACTTTTTTTCAAATAAAATATTTCTTTAAAAACAAATTTAAATCCCTGAATATGACATCATTTAATAATTGAGAGAGAAAAACAAACATTTTAAAGCTCTCAACAATTTCTATATTAAGTCAACATCCCTGAATCTTCATCAAGACATCTGCACTTCCAATATAATCATAAATCTTTTTATTAAATTGTTTTATCAAAGTCAATGTGAAACATTATTGATTGAATTAAGCAGGTTTTATTACATATTGACCCATAGTATAAACCCATGTTTTATTTATAGAAACTGGTAGATCTGATACCAGCCAATTTGTAAATCATGTAATATGAGATAAACAGAGTCTGAATATCATTTTCTTCTCACACCAGAGAACTCAAAACACCTTACTAGTCAAAAGCAGACTATGAATTAGATATTTTTTTGTTGTCAGTCTCATAGAAAACTGTTTGTACTCTTGCTAAATTTAGGCTTTCTGCCAATCAAGTTTAGCTTGGTATATCAGATCAGATGATAGAGAACAAACCCAAGTCCCCTAAGAAAGCCTGAAAGTTCCATTTCCATGCATTATTTCAAGAACCAGTGGGCACATTGCCAGGACAAAAAAATTGATTTGTCAGTCTTAAGCAAAAATTACAGTTAACTTAAAACATTGTTCTAATCAATTGGCATTTAAAAAGACCTGAAAGTCATTATACAATTGGATCTAATTAATAACTTTGCTAATTGTTTTTAAAAGAAAAAATTTAATTATTATTAATAATTCTTCTGAAAGGTTAGTCTCTCGGAGAATGAAGCAGAAAATGGAAACTGGTTTGTTATTATCTGGAAATAAATCCTGCTTAATCAAGTCAACTATTTATCTCAGTCACTACTATATATTTCATATAATTGAAATAATGTCCCTGAATTAATATTTGTCATGAAAATATTACTTTATCTAGCACTACCATCCATTCATCATACATTTTCCCATTAACATTTATCTCTGGGGAATCAAATTTGCCTTCATAAATAACATATTGGAATAACTGAATCTTGTTTTGTCTATGCTGCCCTTACAATTATCCTTTTCTCTATAACACACTATACAACATTCATCACACCCCTGAGGTAGCTCCTTTTTTACAAATGAAAGTCATCTTGTATGCACAGTACTTCATGTAGAAAATAATTGTACATTTATCACATGCTAAACACGGAAAAAAATGCTAAAAATACAAAAACATTAATACCAATACTTCATCATATTAACTATTGTTTCCTCTCCCAAAAACAAAAAAAAACACTCAATATTATCTCAACATAAACTTAACTCCTGGAAACTGTAAGCACTGTAATGCAGTTTAACAAAATTTAAGCATCAACAAGAGCTTTTGATGAGATAGACAATTCTGTTTGCCACCTTTATAATATGCCAAGTTTTCTGAAATATATCAATCTGGTGCGTAGAAATACAAAAAAAATGATAAAATGGTCCAAATGAATCAAATGTAAATGATTACGTTGATTAAATTCCACATGCCCTATTAAAAGCTGCGATTTTAAGAATCAGCTTCACTGAACTTTACAAACCGTTCCATCAGTGTTACACAAAAACTATAATTTCCTTCAAATAAATTAAGAGTGGCCCAGAGAAATTGTCACACTCAGTTTTCTTTTTGTGGAAAATTTGAACACAATACTCTGGGTCAAACGAAGGTCTGTACCTGTTGCATTTTTTCAAAGTCCAAGCATGGTCTTTGTGTAAGTGAACCTGATTCTGTTTCATAAACATTCTCTGAGGTAGCTTGTCTGTACCTTTTACGCGGCGACACTGACGACACCGTTATTGGTGCCATTCGTGCAAGAACCTGTCTCTGAGAGGGAAAGCGAGTATAAACTTTTACACGTTGAACACCTTTCGGCGGGGTTGAACTCAGTAATACAGGCTGAGGATTTAGGAGGAATTCTTTTACTTCATCATCCGAGGAGCTATCACAACATCCGGAACAGTGATCCTGTGACCATTTACGCTTCTCGGCTACATTTTCTTTGTTAATTGTCACTAACTCATCTTCAGAACTATGTCTATCAAAGTCTAGGCTTTGTCGTTCATAATCTGAGGTACAACTTACAGTGTCAAAATTATGTTCACTTATTTCATGTGTTTTTGTGCCAGATTTGTCTGAAGGCAGGCCTTCCGCTGTATTTTCTTTGTCTTTGTTTGTAAGGTCATTCAGGCTTGTATCAGATCCATCTGAAAGTAGAAAAAAATAATTTTGATAGTGCAGAATACAGAATATAAAATGTTTCACTATAAAATAATACTTGTGGAGTATGATGATGTTGTTGTTGATGATGATGATGATGATAGTGATGATGATGATGACAGTGCTCATAATGTTGATGATGATGATTACGATATGAGTTTTTATTTTTGGTTAATTATAGTTAACAGTAGTGATTCATGATGATTATAAATGTTATGATGATGACAGTGGTGGTGATGATCATGATGTTGATGATGATGATGATGATGAAGAGAAGGAGGAGAAAAATAACGACATCGCCAATCACAATATTAATGGATATCTTGAAAATGGTAAATGATTTATTCATTTATACTTTGTGTTTTGTACGCAATTTATCATGCATTAACCTAACAGCTGCTGATGAATTTTAAAATGTTTAACACACCCATTAATAATGATAATGTTATCATGAATAAAGACAAGTTTTACAATCTGCCATGTGCTCTCCATCTGTATACAATATAAAAGCTGCTGTGCAAGCAGCATACAGTCACACCTTGATTCAAACCTTTACTATTTCCTATATTTAAATTGTTTAATTTTCTTTCCATAATCAACTTAAATTTTCATTACATAACATCATATAAAAAATTTCTATAACTTAGGTGATGTCTTGAAATACAGAATTAAACACAAAAATAGTAAAAAAATGAAGTACTCTTGAGCCAATCATCCAAAAACAAATCAAAATCATTCATATTTATCTTCATAAGATTGATCTATATGAAAATGATTTGTTAATTCATCAAGGGATTGTACACAAAACAGGCATTCAGTTGATTTTGTACTTCAAACAGTACAATATACAATAACCTGCCATATCTGTATTCTATTTTAAGAAAGCAATCACACATTATAGCTAGATGATGGCACTTGTGTAAAATGCAATTATTTCTTGATAAGGCCTGATCACCTCCTACAACTTACAAAATAAATCAATATAGATTCAGGAGCCTGACTTGATTGAGTGGATGAATATAGAACCAATTACATCTTAAACTACATGACAAGGTGCCCTGATTAAGCCAAAGAATGTGAGCACTGCTTCCAAGAAGATGTCAACAAGACACTATAAGTGTGAAATGTTCGCAGGTTGATAATAAAATATCCAGAACTTATTGATATTCCAATAGATAAAAGCTAGTTAGATCAGTTATAGAAAAATATAGTTTTATTTTAGTATCTTTAGTTAGAACATCACTGTAAGCCAAGTTCTTACAATCAATATAAAGTAACAAAAGTATACAATTATTCCTAGAGTACAATTGTAAAATAGCTGTATACATTGTTCAGTCTAAAAATAAAGATTTTCATTCAATTAGTAATCAATTACCATTGGAAGAAAATCTTAGGCAATTTGTTCCGCTTTCAAGTGCACTTTATATGTTTATAGAGTAAAACTTGGAAGTTTCTATTGATTCTTATATTGATCTATAGAAAGAGAGGCTTGTAATATTCCTGTTATGTTGTGAGCACAGAGAACACATCAGGAAAGAAAATGATAAATGTTTGTCAACATGAACACCTCTACAAGGCTCTAGGTGATACATGTCTACCATTTTATATACCAATATAATCTTCAGAGTAACATACTAAATGCCACCATATAAACATAATCTTGTTTTTGATATATGTTTACATTTACACTTTAGCTTACATTGTAAATTGAGGTATTTGTAGATAATTAAGACCTGAAAAACTTCACAGACCCTGTTGAAATATGAGACAACATGTATTTTATTAGTTATAAATATTTTTGACAAGTTATATGGCCCTAATATAAACGGTTGTTTGGAAATATAACCCTAGCTGCCAGGCAAGGGTTATATTGTAAACAATGGTTTATATATGACCATATAACCTGTTAGAAATATTTGTAACAAATTTATAATACGAATAGCATCATTTTTTTAGAGAAAAAAGTCAAATTTCTTCATAAATTGAAAGCAGCTAGCCATGTATATAAAACTATATGAAAAGCAACATTACAAACATGCAGTTTTATGATAAACTATATCTATATGTTTCTGATACTCTGAAACAACCTCATGCATTACTTGTTTTCCTTTCTTATTTTCACAAATTTTGAAAATTACTTTCATGATTATGCAATGAATATTTACTGAAATCTTGGAAATCTTGAAATAACTGAGTGTCTGTGCAATTAGGTTATTTCCCATGACATGATGTGAATGCATGATGACATTTTTGTTAAGTTTACACAATTATATGGGATTCTACATACACAATTATATGGGATTCCAGACATGATGAGATAGGTTTTATAAATGTAAACCACTTACATCAAGAATTGCACCACTTCCTTAATATAGCATGATACTTTATATATATACAAGTATTGGCATGCTTTCAACCAATTCTCCACTTGACTTCTCCACTAAATCTTAATCTTTCAGTCAAATATTTTACACAATAATCATGACTAAAGTAAATTAACTTTTTTAAGTGTATCCACCCCAGATTAATTCTGGCGGTATAGACCAGGCATTAGAGTCACTTACAAAAATTCTACTTTTTTAATCAATGCTTTTTTTACAAAAATTATAATCTTATTTGAACCTGTTTAGTGTTTTACCATTCCTTTTTTTAATTATCCCTATATCTCTTTGGTGCTTTAGAGGTCAGGATACCCTTGGGTGACTGGGGAGAGGGGTTTGCTGTATTCTAGCTGAGAATGTCTCACCGTTTGTATTCATATTTTCAGAAAGTACTTCATTTTTAAACAGAATTTTAGTTATCATTACACTGTTTACAGAATATATACAGCAATCTTTTATCAGAAAATTCAACGAAAGAATCATTTTCCTTCATTAAATCATTTAACTTTTAATTGGTTTAGGAGTTATAAAAACTTCAAAGGAAGTATCAGCATCTGGCCTCAGCAGGAATGGAGTCAGCCAACACTGAAGAAATGCTAGAAAATTGCTGATATTGGCCCCTGTAGACATAGGAGATGTAATATATTGATGTAACAAAAGTGAGATGTCAGAGTCATACATGATACTATGTTGTCTGTCAGAGCTAAATTAGTAATTAACCTACAAAACTATCACCTATTTCTACATAATATAACAGGAATAGAAACCCTATAGTCTGTTATCTGAACTAAGCTTTCAGACAGACGGAGGTCAATGAAGCTGATGGAACAATCTGTTTATACAATCTCTTTCCTAATTATACCATGCATAATCTACATGTTGGTTTCTTGGCTAACATTATGTTACCATTCTGTACCAAACATTTCATTGCATTGTCTACAAACACATGTATAAATTATCAACAAATCTATCAAATTGTAAATTATTATTAAATACATACAAAGAGTCATTTAAGTACAGTGTAATGTGTATAGTCAATATTAAAGCATATGACGTTGATGAAAAAAAAATTACCCATGACTTTCCCCCCCCCGAGGCCGCAGATTTAGCAAGGCATTCTGATATTATTATTAGAAACAGCTAGTGTAGTAAAAAATTTCTTTAAGATAATTATTTCAAAATTTATATAGTTTGACATAAAAGGAGATAATTTGACCTCAGATTTGACTATTTAAGTAATCTGTATAAGTTGAGATAACTGTAAACAGTTTACCATATACTATCTTGTTGGAAAAATTCCACAGGAATGTGTTTGAAGAATTTCGGCCTGCATTTCCAATGTCCTTTATCAATTTATGCCACTTTGTACTTTCTAAAGTAAACTATATATATCTACCTCTTAAAAGCAAAAATGTTTCATTATGTAAACAAAGTATCGATTACTTTAATCAGCGAGTTAATGGTTCAATGTCATTCATTTACATTTGGCATTCCAAAGACAGTTCTTCAGCACTGAAGACACTCACCTAGACAACACCTGCCAATCTACTTGAAAAAAACCAACTTTATGATGTTGCCAATATTGGTACAGTATAGCTATAGATCTGGTTACATCTAAATTATAGCACCCACTGTTTCCTACATATGCTATTTATAGACATTGTCTTTCTGTTCCAGAAGAAAACTGAAACCAACCTAACTGTCAAGTGAATAGAGTTATTAATTTCCTATGTACCAGAGACTTTTCCAGGAAAATAATTCAGGGAAAATCAAGTGAACATAATGATTCTGTAAGAATTGAATGTCCTTTTTTGAAGATATCTCTCTTCAAGAAACTGAACGTAAATGTACAATTTGATGATTCAATGCTAAATTTATCATTTAAACACACAGACTTGTTGAAAATATTATACATGTATTTGCAGTCTTACTTGAAACACTTAGATTAACTTATTGGCAAAGAACTGCCTCAGGACGCTTTAATTGCACTTTGAAACAGTATACTTGTAAATATATGTGTGAGTGACTGTAATATATAATTATATATATATGCCTATATGTGTGTGTAATAATTATATGTGTGTGTTTAATTTATATATTTGTGTGTGTAGTATATCTGTTTATATAAGTTATAACACGTAAGTGTTTATAGCATAATAACATAACATGTAGTCGGGAGTACCTAGGCTGTATATATGCAACAAGGTCATTTATAATGTATACCTACTGGTGATTCATTCTACATACATGTAAAAATATATGATGACATTAAATGTCACTGCATCTGTGCGTCTGTTCATACAATATATAATTTCTATATAAATATATATAATAATGACTATTATCATGACTGATGTACCTGCAAAATCTCATTATCAGATCAGTGTGTTGTTTATTACAGACTATAAGGACAGGTGATAATAACAGAAGATGATATGATGTAATATTATACTGATATAGATTATATATCTAACCATGCATGCTGCTCTCTCTATAATAAGTTAGGCATAATCCTCATCAATATATTACATATACTGTATACACTCATTGTTCTAATAATCTAATTAATATGCAATTCTTCCAACATTTATATCACTATACATAGACTAGTAGTGATATACTTACATGGGTTATCATCGTCAAAGTTCTCGTCCGACTCGGTACCTGAATCTCTTTCTTCATCATCAGCATCCTGAAAATATACAAGATACATTTGTATTCTTTTGTAAAAAATTACCATGAAAAATAAGCATGGCAAGATTTGGAAACATAACATGAGAAGTTACAAATTATGCTTAGCTACCTGATTCAATTTGGGTGAACCCCAGGCCCGTTCCCACCACCCCTAAAACTCCTTGACAATTAAGAAATCCTGCTTTAATTAAATCTCATTTTTGTGGCAAATTTATATTTATCTCAGATTACATAACCAAAATATTCTTACATGAATTAATATCATTAAGTTTCAAGCCCTTGAAACCCTGTCTAGACAGCCAATCTGCACCTACTGCAAGCATTGATTGGGCCTTTCTTAAACCTTCCTCATATTTGTGTGTACACCTATATTGCCCTATTATAAGCTACACCCCTGATCCTGATTGGGTCAATGTTCTCTTATTGAATATTATGCCCCTCCATTGAAAATCTTACTGATTAAAAATTCATCTCTATAAATACAGAAACATTACACATCACAATTAACAAAATAAATTGTTCATTATATTTCTGAGAATTATTACAAAAATAAATGTTTTCCCATTGTGCATTACATAAAATATATATTATATTTCATTTCGTATATAAATGAGGAGATTATAATCTTTAACCAAAACATGAACAAACATATTCATTTTTAGTAAAAGACTATTTAATATTGCAGTCTTCAAGGTATTGCAGGAAAGGTATTGTGGGCCTATATTAAGACATACAATATATTGATATCATGTTACCAATTTTATCCTATCACAATATGAGCTAGCGTAATCTTTTGCCATCAATTATCTTCAAATATGTTACACAGAATTAATAATGCATTATAAATACTAGTATAGGTTGTGTATGTACATAAACCTAGAGATTCTGTAATTAAACCCACCTAGTAATCCTGGAAATATTGGCATGATATATCTCAAGTATAAAATATGCATGAATTTGTATAGAAATGTGTTTATTCAATGCCAAAAAGCAGTATACAGCCAGAAACGTGATTGACTAGAGTATATATATATAGTCATCACTCAGGTGTGATTGACTTGCCTATATAATTATATCACTGGAAAGTGTGTATACACTGACTGAATTCATTATGAACATTATGTTTCTTATCTATATAAATATATTTTATAAATTGTTAATTATGTTTCTTATCTCTATAGATTAGATATATATTATAAATTGTTCATTATAATTCTTATCTATATAAATAATTATATTAGTAATTGTTCATTTAATGTTTCTTATCTATATAGAAATATATTATTTTTATAAAAAGACAAATACTCCATAGTGGATGGAAGAATGTGTTCTAATGTAATACAAAAGTCGAAAAATCTGACATGCTGGAAACAATTGACCCATATAAGTCGGCCAAGCTTTAAGTTGACATTTTATGCCTGATCCACTTCATTCAGTTCCTCTCTATTCCACATTAAGGAAAGAGTTGATGCATATGTATGACTATATCAGCTTATGCCTGGTTCACATAGCTATCTCCATATGACTATCAGTTTGAAGTGTCTGAATCTGGCGCACATGGCTATATACATATAACTATAAATGTGTAATCCACATGTAAGGTATTAGTTTATAATTCACATAAATGGCCACATCGATTTGACTGTATTTTCAAATTATGCTCAGAATTTGCCAGTATTTACTTAAACTTCAATATAACATATTAATAAAGACATATTTTTTTATTAAATCATAAATGTATGGCTGACAGGAAACACCTGTACTGTACCTGCCAATTAGCACTGAACCTTAGAAAAGTCAGTCATAAACACTGGCACCAATGAATTAACAACGCCGTTTGTATATTTGGCAGAATCACATAAAAAATATGTGTTCTCTGTGAAACAAGTTATCTTGGCTTGCTGGCAAAACAAGTTATTAACAAACATCTTTAAACAAGTTAATAGCAGGTTGGAAATCTACATTATAAGTGTGTACATTGTACATACACACAGTATTCTGAGGTTATATAGCTTTACTGATGGATGAAGAACTGACAGGTGCCCCTTCCTGCATGTTATAATTAGGCAGGAAGAGAGCCTCAGAGAAGAACAACAAATCTTCCATATAGAGCTAGCTTGCTATATAGAGTTTTATTAAAATAGAACCAGTTTTAATTTAGGAGATATCAGCTTATACTAAATTTGTTTTATTCTCTAAATTTCAAAATCAAATTGCATTTATACCTTCAGTGCATGTGGCAAAATGTACCCGAGTGTTGTTAAATAACTTCGAGAATAAATGAATTTTATACATTTTCTTGAAGTTGGTTGGATTATAATTATTCTTTCAATTTTTCTCAATTTTACCTAGGTACTTTTAATTATAATGCAAAGAAAAGATATTGTATTGTTAATTCAAAATGCATTGCATGATATAAATGTTAGCAACGGACAGTAAATTATAATTTCAGCAGTTTGTTAAAATAACATATAAAAAGACTTTTTTTTATAATTTTAGGAGTTTCTTTAACTTTCTTTTCACTATGTGTCTAAATATCTAAAGTTTAATTCAAATTAAAAACTGAAATACTGAACAATTTATTTTTAACTATCCTTTAAAAATCATTATTTTCAATACATTATTTTTGCAGAGATACATGAATAAGTGTGTAATGTCTCCAAATTGATGTTAGAGATTATTTGTCAATTATTATTTAATTGACATATGGCCTGAAGATATACTTAACTTAGGTGGTCAACATTATCAGAAAGGAAGTAGTTTTCTAAATTTGGCATTAAAAGTATAATTACTTTCTAGACAACAATCTTGTAAAACTCAAATTTTACTTTAAATAATTCTTGTAACTCCTGCATTGTCATTTATACATAACATGCCTTTAACATACATTTATATAATGAATTAAATTAATTTAGAAAAAAACAGCATTTTATATTTTGAAGGACTATATATATCACAGATCAATTGAGCTATATTTGTATTTTCAATTTTGGAAAAGTATTGATTACATTGACAGCAATATTAAAATATTTTTTTTGTTTGTTTTAAAGTCAATTTTTTAAAATCAGAGATTATCTATGTCTCTGTTAAAATCTAAGATAATTTTCTTTCACATTTTAATACCATACAATAAATTCATAATATCATTAAAATCTAAATTTTAGTCAACTTATCTAATTGAACCTGTAAGTTTAATTACTATCCCATTTCAAAAGCATTTTAAAACTCTTAGAAATAGTTCAACATATTTACTTAGCTTAAATAAACAACATCTTACTAGAAAGGTAAACATTTCAAAGAAGAAAGTATTAATAATTACCTCAGGATCAAATTCAGTTTGACCCTCACTCAAACTTTGGGATTTCAACTTTTTGGTCAAAAATTTCAGCATGTCTGTCGTCATGTGAGTCGGTTGCAACAACTGCAAAATCCTTCCTCATATAAAGCTAATTAATCCTGGCATCAAATACAGACCAAGGAAATTTCAATCCGAGTATGAAATTCCAACTTTCACAACTACAGTGGGTCTTGCCTATTTACCCTCAAATGCAACTGCTATCTGCGAGAATTACGACACTTAACACCGTCACTGCACATCACACACGTCTTGTTGTATTTTATTTTACATAGTATATCATTCCAGTGCCAATGCCGCGCCAGAAATGCTAAATTTACACACACATTTTCATCCCATTGACAAATTTTCTTTCTTCTCTTCACGTACTACACAAAGTGTGTGTATTTATTGTAGTAGTGGAAGATTACAATACCTGAGGGGTCGTCAGTATGAAAGAAAATAGGTCAACTATTTCTTTATAGCAAAATTACCTAATATTAATCGCAATATTATTTCTTACATACATGAAACAAAATATTTAAATGAAATACCACCACTATCTATCCTCATAAATGCAATAACTTAAAATAAAAATTCGGCAGTGAGATCGCTAAACCTGCGCCATAAAGCGAAAATGAGAAGATCCAAGTAACGAAGAATTTTGATTGGCCCAGAATAATTCCGCTATATTGCACATGCGAATTGCTTGGCACGTGGCCAAAATCAATATAGCCCGTTTCATGATTTAGATAACTATCGAAGGAAATCAGATTTAGTGGTATATAGAACGAGTGAAGCGATGGAAACCTCACTGTAATGAAAATATATTCGCTCAGGTTTTAAAGTAGAAGATATTTTAAGATGGGAGCATATAAACGATAAAGAGTACACTAAAGTACGCTGCGCCCTTTGTGAACATGTGCCAGTTTCACAAGCCATTAAAGCTGCATGCCTCCAGATGAGCAAAAGTATTTTCAAGACGCTCAAACTTGAGAAAAGAGTTGTAAGGTTTTGAAAAGCAAAACGATTCAAGTTTTAAGTAATGATTTACATATAAACGATGTAATGTATGGTTATTGACAGATTTTGCAGAGTATATCACCATATTTCTACTGTGTGACTAACGTAAGGGCTATTTTCGCATATTTTGAGCTTTTGGTAATTTACGTTCACTTCACAATATTTTACTTTTAAAACCATTTTCAAAATTTTAATAAAAATCATCATAAGTCTGGAGGCATGCTGCTTTAAAACAAGTCCATGTTTGTATGATAAAACATGTTATACCGGTAGTTTATATCTTACAGCATACACATTTATTTTCATTACCATCATGGTGTTTTGACAGATGTATGGTTGATGGTTTGATAAAGAAAACTTAATATTAAATTACATACAAGTGAACATTCTTCAAAGTGTTGCCTTTATCGGGATTTTTTTTTCTCTTTTTCTAAATTAGATATTGAGATAGCTGTGTACTCCCAACAACGTGACAATAACGCGACAGCTGTTTCAGCTTGAGGGGACATGCTCTATCATAATGCATCAATATACCAGCCGGCTGTTACTTGATGACTTTTACGGACAATAATCCTGCAGATTGGTAAATTAACATTGATTCTGTGTCCTCAACTGCAGCATGTCTCTCAAATTTAGCCTATTGTCACCTCGAAGTGTTCTAATGAATTATTGTCGGCGGCAATTAACGCTAACATCTCTGTGCTGGAATAATCATGCACGTTTTTTTTTTACAGATCAATGGATACCACGTGATGATTTGACTTCGATTATGGTGAAGAGACAGGATCAATGTATTGCTATGTCTGCAAGGAGCTGTAGACAACTGACACAGCATTGGGTTCTTAAATCAGTACAGCTTAATGAGGCAATATGTGCCGCGTTTACAAAATGCATGTACATTTAACATTCGTTAGGCGGTACCATGAATAGTATACAACAATAATATACAACAAATATTTTTAACCTTAGCTCGCAAAAAATAATAGAGGCCTTTCTGGCTTTGTAGTGGACCACCGCGTGATGAAAATTCACGTGCTTCTCACGTAGGTTGGAAAGTCTCCGCATGGCTGTCAATGTGATTTAACACATACTCGAAATTTTGAACCCGTGTCCAGTAAAAATTTCTTAGCATTACTTGTTTTATAAAATGATTTTAAACATTATGTTCTTCAGATCAAAACAAAATGAGGAATCTTCTGAACAGATTGATTTACATACGAGAAGGAAATACCTATGATGTCTATTTGCAATGTAATGTAATTTAAGACTACTATAAATTTAAACCTGTATAAATATTTTAAGAATATTAAGGCGTACAAATATGCGTCAGTTCAGAATACGTGCGTAAGTAACTCTCGTCTGATTAATTTTGTTTAAACATGACATGAGAAGTAGCCTCCCTTAAATGATGTGTCGTTCTATAAATAGAATGTAAAAAATAGTATCATCAGAAAACCCATACTTGACATATTTTTCAAACAGGTCAATCTATTAATAGATTACCGATACATCAGTAAATCTCGGAAATACTCGGTATCATTCGTATTAAGGATCAAGGGATATAACTCGTACGACTTTAACTTTTTCTAAAGGAATATATTTCTGGCTTCTTTCCCTTCCTCTATCATGACGCGGCTCATATAGATAAAAAAAGATTGGTAACTATAATAAGGTAGTCCTATCATTGTAATGGATATCTTTATTTATTACAATTGCATGGAGAACAACTTTATTAATTTTTATCTTCATTTTTCAAAACTTCTTAATTGAACTTCACTGAGGTCAAAAACCATAAAAAAACATTTGAGCCCCGTCACGACAAAACCAACATAGTGCGTTTGCGACCAGCATGGATCCAGACCAGCCTGCGCATCCGCGCAGTCTGATCAGGATCCATGCTGTTCGCTTACCCACTCTATTACAAGTAGAGAAACTGATAGCGAACAGCATGGATCCTGATCAGACTGCGCGGATGCGCAGGCTGGTCTGGATCCATGCTGGTCGCAAACCCATTATGTTGGTTTTGTCGTGACACGGCTCATTTGTTTTTTAATATAGATCAAGTGGGATAAAATAGAAAGATATGCAAGGACTCAGAAATAAATGAATGAAAAGTGTTGCAACGCTTTTAAATTTGTGTCATTTTACATTATTAAGATATTTATTAATCTTTAATTTTGTACAAAAGTTATTGGTCAAGATTTACATCAATTGAAACAGAAATCTCAGAAATTTATATATAAAAAAGACTACCTCAGTGGTGCCCCTTTAAGTTCATATTTCCATAAACGTAATTGTTTTACGGACCACTTTCTGCCGCAATCTTTTGCATGGGGTTACCTGATCTTTTATGACTAGTCAATGTTAGATAACATTTGTTTCAAACGTTAACTCAATAAAATCTATAATTGGCAAGGCTTATCAGTTTCTAGGATCAGATATGATGTGATTACTCGTAAGTAAAGCGGATTTTGATAAGGGAGATAAAAGAAGAAGAAAAATGATGGTATATTATTGTACACAAAATTGATGGTGGATATGTCGTACCCATGTTAATGTGGCTATGTCGTCCACAAGTTATGATGAAAATGTCGTACACAATTATGATGGAAATGTCGTACACAAGTTAGGTGGATTGGTCGTACACAAGTTAGGTGGATTTGACGTACACAAGTAATTGATGGATATGTCGTACACAGTAGTGATGCATATGTACGCGAAGTACACAAATTATGATGGATATGTCGTACACAAGTAGTTGATGCATATGTAGTAAACAACACAAATTATGATGGATATGTTGCATACAAGTCTATGATGGATTGTCGGTACACAAGTTATGATGGAATGTGTCTTTACACAAGTTATGAATGGATGTGTCGTACACAAGTTATGATGGATGTGCTCGTACACAAGTTATGATGGATGTGTCGTACATAAGTTATGATGGATGTGTCGTACACAAGTTATGATGGATGTGTCGTACATAAGTTATGATGGAAATGTCGTACACAAGTTATGATGGAAATGTCGTACACAAGTTATGATGGATATGTCGTACACAAATTATGATGGAAATATCGGTACACAAGTTTTATGATGGAAATGTCGTACACAAGTTATGATGGAAATGTCCGTACACAAGTTATGATGGAATGTGTCGTACACAAGTTATGAATGGAAATGTGTACACAAGTTATTATGGAAATGTCGTACACAAGTTATGATGGATGTGTCGTACATAAGTGTTATGATGGAAATGTCGTACACAAGTTATGAATGGAAATGTCGTACACAAGTTATGATGGATATGTCGTACACAAGTTATGAAGTTAATGGTGGGTAGGTCGTACACAAGTAATGATGTATATGTCGTACACAATTTCGATGGATATGTCGTACAGAAGGTAATATGGATATGTTGTACAAAGTTTAATGTTGGAAATGTCGTACACAAGTTATGTTGGGCATGTCGTACACAAGTACATGTACGTACACAAGTTATGATTGATAGGTCGTACACAAGTTTATGATGGGATAATGTCGTACACAAGTTATGATGGATATGTCGTGCACAAGTTTCGATGGGATAGGTCGTACATCATGGATTATGTTGCTTACACAAGTTTTTGATGGAAAGGCCGTACACAATTTATGCTGGATATGTCATACACACAAGTTATGATGGATAGGACGTACACAAGTTATGATCAATATATCGTACACAAGTGATAAAGATATTCCAAGTTTAATTTATTTTGGAACCATTGACTCACTGCACATTAGATAACGAATGCTTTTACTGAATATCGCGTTTATTTCAATTCCTTTTCTTAATTTCTTTGACACCGATATTCATACGAATGGAACAAAATATGCCTTCGTTTCCTTTAACTAATGATGAATCAATTATGACAAATGGTTGATGCTCCCCGAAAAATAAGCAGGCTACTTAGATAAAGGCGTTGTCTGATTACGGTTGTTTAACTGTCTTATCAACAATAATATCTGAAGGTGTTATGATTCCATACTGGGAGTTTTCATGAGATATTGTCTGACAGAGTACATGTATTAAATTGGTAGGATCGCACTCCAAAATACTAGTGAAATATAGTCATCTTAACGTAATCTGCTGGGTGAAACTTCATAATAATTACTCATTAATACATTTATATAATCTAACATAACACCCGACAAAAATGTGATAAAAATACAATTTGGTGAATGCGAAAGTTGGGCCATCAGGACAAACTTATAATTTGGCCGAAAATGATCACCCTTCAAAAATTATTGACAGGAGACACATTTAAGACTTTTGTTAGGATTGACGAATATATTCGCCATAATTTATCACGGAGCCAAGGTATATTTAAGGGCACGTTTAAATACAGATACAGACAAGTTGTTAAAATTTTACCTAAAGCTTTTGAATAATCACAGAGAATGATGAATTCAGTAAAGTCTTTCAATATTTATGCCCTGTTCA